CACACACACACACACACACACACACACACACACACACACACACACACTGCACATTTTATTGTGGACTGCTTCCTCTGTTTAAATGATTGAGAGCTTCTGTTTTTTTAAGGTAAAAGTGTCTATTTTTCACAAGAAGACTACAAAAATTAAATCAGCAGAATTTTGTGATTCAGTTTAGTGTACAGATCATATTTTAAAGCCATTTGTTTTAAACGTTGTTCAAAAGTAATGCTGTTTCAATTTGTGATGGCTGCACAGCAAAGTTAGCTGCTCCCCACAGTAAGATGAACCGTGTACTTGAAAAAATGTTTCTGTACTTGTGCTAAGCCCCCGTCTCATCATTCAGACTATGTTTAGGCCTATCTGACCATCTGCACTCTCTACGGACGCGTGGCAACGCCGAGGCGGCTCTGATCTTAAATCAGGAATCTTTTACATGAAAATCTTTCCTGCACATCAGGGGAAAGTCAAACTGTTCCTAATACAAGTTCTTGTGTTTCCACTCGATCAGCCGTTAGGTGGTAAAGTAACACGCAGTATTGATATGACGATGAAGAAACATCATTTACATTTCAGATAACATAAGTACATTGATGGATTATTCTCTGTCTTTCATCCAGGCTGGTGTGAAGGGAAAACTTGGCAGATTACTTGGGATATTTGAGGTAGGTTTATCAAAACAGTAGTCCCTCATTTATCGTGGGGGTTACGTTCTGGACACCCCCTGCAATAAGTGAAAATTCGCCAAGTAGGGACGTTATATTTATTTTAGTATTTATATATATTTTAAGGCTTTAGAAACCCTTCCCACACTCTTGCGATGTTCTAAACTCTTAAATCTACTAATTTTAACAACATTCTTATATGTAGCTACTAAAGTTTACTTACCAGCTCTTCCCCGGTTGGAGGTCCTAGTGGGCCGGGTGAAAGAGATGAAAAAAGTCTTGGTGGACTCCAGATGGAGCGCCGGACCTTCGGCGACGCGCATCCCTCTCTGAAGTCCTTGTGGGTCAACTGGGAGCTCTCGGGTTCACCGCTGAGTCTGGAGGTCCGGTTCTGGTTCGGTCCCGTGCAACTCTTGAGCGTCGAAATGCATTTTGGGGAGGGCAGACCTTCAGTTGGCCGGCGCGGGACTGGATGTGGTCTACTGAGTACAAGTCTGGATGAAAAAAGTCCCGATGGGCTCCAGATACAACCCCTGGCCTACGGTGGCACTTCCCTGCTTGGAAGTCCTTGTGGGCCAGCTACCAGCTCTCAAGATTCACCAATGGGTCTGGAGGTCTGGTTCTGCTCCAGTTCTGATCCAGTTTGGTGGGTTCCATGTGGCTCTCTGCATCCGCTGGGCGCTGAAGTCACTGTAATAAGCGTCAAACTTTTTCAGATCAGATCAAAACTTTCCCACTAGTATTTCAGCAGAAGGAAACGGGGCTTCTGGGCAGGGCACTGTTGCCTTCTGGGAAATGTGGTCATTATGAGTGGGAATACAGTGTAGGCTTATTGAGAGAAAACTACAAAATGGCGGCGCTTGTCCGAAAAAATTTTTTTCATTAGCTTTCTACTGTACATTATCCAGTACAGTCCCAATCACGTGAGTAACATTAAAGTTGACAACAATTTTTTATTTGTTTGTTTTTTAAATGTTAACGTGTGTTGACAAACCGCGCTATAGCGAGTCCGCGACAGTCGAACTGCGAAGTAGTGAGAGACTACCGTACAATAATTTCATGTTGAAACCCATGAAGCTGAATGAAACCCAGTTTTATCACATTATGATTTCTGCAGAGCAACAGGTGTAAAAGAGCCACTGCTTTGTTTTGAAAAGTACAGACTACAGTACAGTTATTTGTACAGTGTAACACATCCAGTTCATTTAAGAGAAATACTTACCCTGTTTTATGTATTCTTTTGCAGCACAATCAAGACAGCAAACATCGCACTTATGTCTTTACTCTAATTGTGACGGAAACATTGGAAGACTGGGAAGACTCTGTTAATATTGGTATGATTTTTTTAATTTCCTCTTTTTGTCACAGAGTACACTGTATGCAACTGATTCTATTAAAGTACATAGACCTTTAATTTATGAACATGTGGGCAGACCTGCATTATTCTGTGGAAGTCAAGAAGCACAATTAATATTACTACCGGTATTTGTAACAGTTGTCTTGATTTTTTTCTTTTTCTGTGCCTTTGTTTGCAAAACAATTAATGTGTTTTATTATATATTTTTTTACTTCCTGTTTTTTTGCTGCAAACTTTCGGGTGTGTTTAAGGGTTTTTTTTTTTTCACCTCTTATTTCTTAGTTTGTCTTTAGTGGTGCAGTCAGTCCTAAATTAAATTAAGTTTCAAATTTAAGTTGATTCAGCAAGACTTGATTCAGCAAGACAGTCACTCTAAACCTTAAACACATCTTTGAAAGAACATCAAAGTCAGAGTTTCTTTATTGTCATTCACACCACATGTGGTACATGTGGTGGAACAAGATTATGTACCATTTACATCCAACAACTGTAAAAGACAAACAGCAATAAGAGCTAAGATATGAACTAAGAAAAACATCAACTAAAAATACACTAAGCACTAATAGCACAAAAACAATACGCCGAACAGCAGCACGAACATGAGCATGACGCTCAATCCGAGTTTGTTCGAGTTTGTTTGTGGCTCCTCTGACTGATGAAGTCCTTTGGATGAACGATGAAACGTCTCAACCAAAAAAAAAAAGAAACCATCCAGATGACCTGACTGAACTTTGTTGGATCTTTGAAAGAAGTATTTAAAATAAGATAATTATCTGGAGTCCACCTTCTCTCTCAGTCAACACAGAAAACCAGTAGCTGTAAAAGCTTCACAGACATTGTATTGCTTTTGTATAAACTGAATATTTATACTCCTAAAATGTAGGCATCACTTTGTTTTCTGCACAAAGAAACTGGGCCTTGTTTAGATCTGTTGGTCTGGCTCGTGCTGACACACGGTGCTCAGTTTTCTCTGTTTAGTACGCTGTATAATCAGGAGCCCTCGGCTTACTGCCTCAGCTAAAATTAAAGGATCTTTCAGTCGTTTGTCGAGTACACAAACGTTTCTGTTTACATTCACTGCTTCTTACTGGACACATGGTGTCCTGAAGCTCTGACAGCTGTTTAAAAAATAAATCATACTTTATAATGCTCATTTTCTAAAAAAAACAAACAAAAAAAACAAACAAAATAAACCAAAAAAGCCCTGAATACTTTCAGTCATTTATTCTTTGTTTGATGGGAGCATCTAAACACTGTGTATTTCTGCTAAAAACTGTTCACCTTGGAAACTATATGAAATAAGAATAATCATGTCCTACTAATTATTTATGATTCAAGTATACAAATGGTTAACTTAAAAAAAGGAAAAATAAAGTTAAATTGAAAATAAAACAAGTCGGCATCAACTTTTGTTTAGCGTTAGTTTCATTTAAAGACTTCAGATCTGATTTTCAGTGTATATATCTGAGGTGTTATCCTCCTCTCGAAGTTAAAGTAGCTCTAAACAAACATTCCCAACCTGTGTCTAAAATGTGGTTGTTGGTTTTGTTGTTCCCGTCACCCACAGAAATAGACTTCAGCCCGTGCACGTGGGGAGGCGGTAAGGTTACTGTTTGCAGCGTCCAGTTGTTTTCCAGTTTTACTCACCAGTGCTCGCTCTAAATCCCCACACAAAGGCTGTACACGGTCAGGAAGGGTTTGACGCTGCCAGGTGGTGAACTTAAGACAATAGAGGGTGATTTAGTGTCTGACTCAAGCAGGTCCACTGTCAGAATGGGAGGGGATTGGGTTTAAAGCGATGCTTTATAAGACAAATTGTTTTTAATAGAAGATACATTTTCATGAAGAGTTTAGAGACTTGAAATTATTTCAGTTTCCACTCTGACTTAGTGACATGTCTTTTTTGTTGGATCTGGCTTAGAAGATGTGTCCTCATGATTGAATATCTTCAGAGCAGAAACCATGAAAAAGAAAATCTCCATCAGCTTATCTGTAGTTGGCGAGGCAACAGGCCCAGGAGACAAACCCAGACATCCCTCTCCACAATGACACTGTCCAGCTCCTCCTGGGAGACCCCAAGGTGTTCCCAGGACAGAAGATCTCTTCAGCAAGTTCTGGGTCTGCCCAGGGGGCTCTTCCCAGTGAGACATGTTCAGAAAACCTTTAAGGTCCAGGAGGCATACTTAATCAGATGTCTGAACCACCTGAGCTGACTCCTTTTGATGCGAAGGAGTATTTTGGCTGCTTGTCTCCTTGGGTCATCATGATCCAAACCTTATAAACATAGGTGAGGTCCAGTAAATCGAGAGCTTTGACTTTGGACTATACGCTTTCTTCACCAGGACTGATGGAAGCAACAGCCTCATTACTGAGGATCCATCTCCCGTTTGGTTCTCACATCAAACATGAACAATACGCCCAGGTACTTATCTGATCTCAGAAACACCTCCACCTGAGGCATGACAAAGAAGACAATTATGCACAATGTCAGAGTTTTTGTTTGCAGCATGTCCAGGACGGGGCATCAACTTCTGCTTTCATTCGCTCATATTAGGTCACATTAGTAAGAGAGAATTGTAAAAAATAAAATAAAAGTTTAAAACAAAAAGCGGTGTGTGTGGTCTGTCTGCTTTAAAACTATAAGTTAATGTCTGATACTGCCAGTAATCATCATAAATCACCTGAACTGTTTATTGAACTTCACTTGTGTTCTTAATGCTATGAAATCTCCATAAATATACACCCGTGTGTTTAACGTTCTGTGAAAGGGAAATTGAAAACTCCTCAAACATGTGGAAAGGCGTACTTCGCTCAGCTGAGACTAAAGAGATTTTTAAACAAGCTCTGCACTCGTGAACGTTCAGAGCAGCGAGATGTGCAAACACAGTGGCATTTGCTGCACATTTCTCTCAGTCACTTTATGGCCAGCCTACGAGTAAAATGTGGGCAGTATTAAATTTTGAGACTAAACTGTTTATTTCCTGAGTATTTATTACAAGAGAGGGAGTGTTTGTGTAGGTAAACTGTGCTTTTTCATGCTCTTTTCTTATGATATCAATTTATCATTGTAAAAAATAATCCTTAATTATTTGAAGTCATTGTCCAAGTATTTGTACATATGTGTATATGTTATGTATTAGCTATTAGATATCTGTTAGGGTATAAGAGCTGCAGAAGGAACGGAAAGAAAATCATTTAAGGTTTATTGGTGATTATTTGTTGTAGGTCACAGATTTAAACCTTTTACCCCTTGCATGTTCTCACAGGACGGAAGAGGAGATGGTTTAAGGTTGACGAAGCCATCAGGGTACTGCAGAGCCACAAACCTGTCCATGCAGAGTACCTATGCAGACTCGCCGACACCCGTGGCCCGACCTTGTGTTGCCCTGCTCATGACAACGCCCCGCGGTCTAGAGTGATGGAGAACGTGGCACCGCACTACGTTGTTTGCTCCACGCAGGACTCAGACCTGTTCAACAGATAAAGACCCACAGCAAGCAGTTTTTTTCTTCTCAAGAGGACGCCAAGTTGGACGTGATCTGACAAAGAGAAACCTTTTCAAATGTACAGAATGAACCGGTAGCTCTGAAGAGTGGATCAAAGCTGAAAGTGTTTAACAGATACAAACATGAATCACCGAAGCCAACAACTCTTGGGTGGATATTCTTTGTGCTTCATTTGCATTTTAATGGTATTATGTGGTTGTACATATTGAATATTGGATTGACAGCCCCCACAGTGTATTGGTGACTTCCTGCAGGCCGGTTCTGGGAAGATTTGGCTTTTAAAGAAAGCCCATTTCCCACACTGACAGTGCTAAATAATGTCCTTCTGCGAGAGGACATTTTAGGAGGATTAGCCAAAAGGGTGGGAATATTTTAGTACAATTATGTGCTTTTTAAAGGAGGGGGAAGATAAAGCTTGTGTCACTCTTGGCAATGTTTTTGCCCACAGGGAGTTGGTTTAACGTTTGCTTTGGGGCAACAACTAACAGGATTATCTGTAGATTATCCACCTCATTGAGAGAAAACCTTAACACTGTCTGAGACAATATTTCATGTCTGTATTTATGTAGATTTATTGTTGTCAGAGTGGATGTCAGGCTTGATAACATCCTTGCAGTTAAATATCAACTCTTACAAAGCTGGATAGAACTGACACAAATACTATATCTGTTATTCTGGACAGCAACACGCGTTTCTAAGAAATGACATTATTTTTCAAGAATCAAGAGCTTTTGATTGCATTATTGTCTATATTATAAGACCCTTAGAACCTTTAATTATAGGAAAACTAGTTTGTTAGTATATATTTTGAAGTGCCTTATTAAATTGTTTAGTGAACACAGTGCTCACAATGAGGGAAGTAAAAGAAACAATACAGCTTTACAAAGTGCCAAACCAGCTCTTTATTGTCATACCTTTGGTAAAATTTTATTCAAACAAAAATGTTTTTTTTTGTTACAGTTAAATGTAGAATATGTTATTATTATGCACTGATTAAATTTGTGCAAACTGCCCCTGACCCATCAATAAAATATAATTGTTTGAAATATTATTGTACTTTAGGATATAAGACAATAAGTTAACATATTTTAATAGTATTTTTGCATGTGTGACAGGATTATGCTGCTCTGCTGTATATGTATGTTTTAAATAAACATATTTAACAGTTTTTGTAGCTTTTTTAATTCGGGCGCTGTGATCCAGCTGCCCAGCCCTCCCCTCCATGACCCGCCCATCCGCCGCTGCTCCTCCAGCCTGGTCAGGTGTTCGGTGTTTCCGAGTCGTAAACTTGACATTTAAGATAACTGCTCAGATTCTGCGTCGGGACAAATACAGTCATGGCCATGTTCAGACGAATACTACAAATGGTAAGCGATTTTTGGCATTAAATTTACAGGAGTCGCTTTTGTTTTCAGTACAGTAGCTTGTTTTATGTGGGGGACGCAGGCCTATCATGTCGGGCGTTATGATGGGGTACGAGTCTTTTTAAATCTGATTTGTCGTGGATGGGCGGAGCTTTAATTTTTACCTTCGTTTGGAATAGTCCCGCTACTTCGTCAGGTTGAGTTACACATATCAAGCGCTCCTTGTGTTTGGACGACACAGCTAGCTAGTAAATGCTAACATGATTCAGTTGATTAATCTTACTCCTGACATAAATCAAATTGGTGCCTTTATACAAAACCCTGCTTACGGGCACACTATTACATTACTATTCGATTTTAGATATAACTCAGTAAAGGTTTAGTTGTTGAAATTGTTATTTTTAATGTTTCTTTCTTCGCTAGCTGTGTAAGAGCAGCGTTAATTCATCGTTTGCACATGCTAACGCTACCGTTAGCCACACGCTGTGTTGGAAATCCCTGCGTCAGTCAATTGTTTCACGAATAAAGTCATGTGTTTGATACAACTGAGCTTATCGGCACATTAAGTAAATGGTTAGTGAAGCTACCTAGCTGTCATTAGAGTTTCATGCAGGAATAACAGACAGAGGTTAGCTAATTGGATAGCCTCTTTAAAGGACTACGTTACCCGCAATGCATTGCTCACTACTTGGAAGTCATAACTTCAGGTACACTGCTTAGTCATAAACACTGGAACCACAGACAGGAGGGAAGTGAAATACATTTATTAACCTACTACAGTGACACTTGACGGGGAGAGGCTCATATTAGTGACAAGGGAAATATTCTGTGTTTAAAGTAGATGGTTTGAAAACAGAAATATAGGCAAGAATAAAAAGTGCAACACATTAAAATTGTAAAATCATTTCCGATCTGCAGTGATCCTTGTAGATACAAGCAACAGAACTGGATCTCAGTTAATTCGTGTGATTCAACTGGTCCATCTTTATGATTCACCTGCAGAAAACATAACACGGCTTGGTGTAACTTTACTACCTAAACTTCGTAGCTGACCCAAAGCATCTTTTTATGAAAACACAATGTTATTTTTACAAAAGATTCTAACTTTGCACACATAAAAATAGCTTGAAAGTAACAAAATCACAAGCTCAAAGTGTTTGCCCGGCTTTCAAATCGTCCAGATCTCTTGCTAGTGCAGCATGTGTGGGATGTGCTGAACAAACAAGTCTGATCCATGGGATTTTTGTGAGTTTCAGGACTTGAGAGATCTGGTGACAAGTTGCGTTTGCAGTGGAAAAAAAATAAATAAATCAACTTAAATTAAATAGGCATCTATTTTAATAATGTTGGAGCTATAGACATTTTTACTGCCCCAGTCTAGCTGTGTATATTGGTGTAACCCATTTTAACAGTGATAAAGACAATAAAATTTACTACCTTGTCAAAACTCTTCCACCTTTGATCACTTGTATTTTATAACTTTTGATGTTTCGACATGTTTTAGAGTCATGTAAATCATTTCTGGGACAATTTTTTGTTACTAATATGCCAAAGGCAGCACGTTGCAGTCTTGTGTGTGTTGTTTGACTCGGGGTTCAAAGGTTGTTCCATGATGCAGACATCCAGTCTGTTGGAGATTTAGTATTTTAGCTTTCCGCTCAACTCAGTTCAAAGTGCCCAAACTGACTTACACAAACACACAGTTTGACCTCATTCATTCATGGAAACTGTCTTCACAAAATCTTTTTGTGAATGGACCGCCTGTGAAACACCCACCCAATGTTGCAGTCCTTCAGGCCAAAAAAAGACTCTTGAACAAAATATATTCTTTGTTTACTTTGTTATTAACACTTCCTTCTGCCAATAAACCCAAGTAAAGTGTTAATTAAATATTATAAAACAGCTCACGGACTGGAGGATTGCAGTTATGTGAGAAGGAGATCCCATGGACAATCCACACAATTTACAAAAGCTGAAAAAGTTATTTAATGATTCGTTATAGAAGAATTATGTGGTGGTTGGAGTTTTAGCAGCTTGGAGAAAATGATCCCCCCCACATAAAAGCCACAGCTTCACAGAACTGTCTCAGAAACAGGAATGTTAATGTGGGTTGTAAAGGGACAAAGTCAGTGTCAAGGCCTTCACTGAATCCAGAGTTGGACCTGAGAACATTATTTCATGATGGCATTATTAATGTGTAGATGGACAAAGTTTGAGCATTGGTTTGTTTATTTTAGCTACTTTTACATTATATTAGCCTCTGTTTAGCTGCTTTTAGTTTTCATCCTGTGCTGTATGTTTTGGCCACTCTGATGAAAAGAGGAGCTGAGCTGTCAACTGATCACCACCTGGTGGTGAGTCAGATCAGATGTTGGGGGGGGGGGGGGGGGGAGAGATGCTGGAGTGAGGGTTTACTGGGAACATCTGTCAGAAGGATCTTTAAGTCACACCTCTGACAGAGCTTCAACCACATCCCAACGGGGGCGGGGGACATTGAATCTGAGTGCACCATGTTCCCCACGCCTCCATTTTTGAAACAATTACCCTGAACTGTGGCCACAAGGTTGTTGGTGTCACTTGTGGTGACCATCCTTGAACCTGGTGGTGGACACCCTGGGCCATCAAGCTGAAGGAGGAGTCCTTCTCGGGCCCTGTTAGCTGGTAGGACTCGATCAGGAGGCAGCTGAGGGGTATCTGCAGCCCTGGCTGTTGCTGAGGCAGAGGCTCTGATGTGGGAGGAGAGGCCATGGAAAGAGACTTGACTGGCTCCAAGAAGAGAACCTTCTCAGTCCCACCAGCACGCTCATTTCAACCTTTATTTTGTGCTTTTTATCCTTTGCTATGCCTATTTTTGCCTCTGTTCTGCCATTTATTTTTTTTACTTTGAACAACCAAGTTTTTTTAACTGCTTATTTCAGCAGTCATCCGCACTGCAGTTTAAAAATAATAAAAGCAATTGCTCTAGTTTTTATTCAGCTCAGTCATGCTTTGTAGTGTTGCTTTTCTGCAGACTCCTGGCAAAGGAGGCTCTCAGAATGCAGAATCAGAGCAGCCCAGCAGCACCGACCTCAACCATGACCAGAAACCTGATCAGACATCTGAGGTAACTTTCTTTTTCTCAACTAAAGAGTAGATTTGAAGTTGTTCGATCAGTGGCTGAGCTGTTCCTTTGCGCAGGGTTTCATCTGTCCTCAGTGCATGAAGTCTCTCAACTCTGCAGAGGAGCTTTGCAAACACTACGAGCTGTTCCACGACACAGGAGACCTCCCTGCTCACATGGCCCCTACTCGGTTAGACTAATAGTAACATTTAAGATTCCAAGAGGCTGTCTTCTTTGTTTATTTTATATTATTATTACTTTGTGTATTATTCTGAAGTGCTTTTTTTCCTTTTAGTGAAGACCTTACAATGTTGCGGCAGGAGGTTCAGGACCTGCATGCTTCTCTCAAGGTATTTTTGAGCTGTGTGTGTCAAGGTGTTGTGTGAATGTTCCTATAAATACATGACTGTATGTTTTTTTTTTTTATTACCAGGAGGAGAGATGGTTCTCTGGAGAGCTAAAGAAGGAATTAGACAAAGTTCAAGGACATCTGAAGCCAGTAAATCCTTCAAGATATTTAACATGAAATACAGTTTCTGGACGTAAATCTGTGTAAGAGACGATTAATTTTTATTTAATTCCACAGAACGATGGGCAGATGAGCTCAGAGGATGCAGGTAGTGACATTTACGTTTAATAAACAAGCTGAGCGGGAGCACACATCAGTAGCCGCTAACGTGTCGCGTTTTCTCAGTTCTGGAAAGGAAGCTGGTTGAAGCTGAGACGGAGAAGTTCAACATTAAACAGATGAAAGACCTGTTTGAGCAAAAGGCGGCACAGCTGGCCACTGAGATAGTAGGTCAGTGTGGGACTGGGAAACTGGGAGGCCTGTGACTGTGAGTCATTTTACACTTTCAAGTCGTCTTTTACTGGACAACTGTTGGCCTCAGTACATCCATTGTGTTTTGTCCAGTCTGAGACAAGTTGTTGATTATCCCACAGCAGTTTACGTTTTAAAGTTTAACATGAATCACTCTGTCGTGTTGATTCCGTTGTTAATCGATGTATTGTTTTGAAATCTGTCAGACTTGAAGTCTCGTTATGATGAGGAGAAAAGCCTGAGGGAGGCTGCTGATCAGAGGCTTGTCCATTTGATGGAACAGCTGCAGACAGAGAAGCAGGCCAACGAGAGACTCCAGACTGAACTGGTGCAACGCTCACAAGTTTCTGCTGTTGACTCTTTGTTGTTGTTGTTTTTTTTAAACTTCTGGGTTGACCCTGTGCCTTGACTCCGCTCCACAGCTGCAGCGACCGGGAGTGGAGGACGTGGAGGTCCTGCAGAAGGAGCTGGTGCAGGTTCAGACTCTGATGGACTCCATGACCCGTGAAAGGGAGGAGGAGTCCGAACGCCTCCGAAGCCATTATGCAGAGCTGCAGGCTAACTACACTACCTCAGAGGTTAGGAGGCACAAACATGATTTATAGTTTACATTGAACTTTTTGTTTGCTCGGGCCTCCAGCTTCACTCTTCAGGGTTTTATATTCCTGATCAGAAATGGCTGTGAGATCATGCTGTCATATTTTTGACTTTGTGCTTAGTACAGACATTAAATATTGCCTGATGAATAATTCAGGCTTATTTCCTGCATCCTGGAGGACAGGAATATTTATAGACTCCACCAGGTGGCTTCAAGACTGTAATTTTTCACTTTTTAAAATTGCCCTAAAAGGATGGCTTCCTATTTTTACACACGCTGAACCAAATTAGAAATCTATTGATCGTTTCTAAATATATTAAAGTAAGTCTAGTTTTGATTTTGCAGCTTATTCAGCAGCCATATCAGTAGCAAATAAGAATTTCCTTTCAATATTTTGGCGGGAAACATTTAAAGTTCTGTAAATCTTTATGCTTAGATTTATGTTTAGGGACAAACAAAATGCTGAGCAGTCTGATATAAAGTATTAATTTTAATCTGTTCATTGTGTTTTCTGTAGGCAGGCTTATGTTGAATTCATGTGCTGAAATGAGACAAAGCAAAAACAAAAGCACCAAATTAATTTTTATGTCACGTATTCTACTCATAGCTCTTCTAGCAAACATCCCCTAGAGGCTGTTCAGGTCTGGCGTTAAATATCCATCTAAGGGGATTAAATTGCAAGTTCTGATTGGGTGCATTTACACCTGATGTTAATGTGTATCCTTAAATGTGTTTGTGATCAGATGATGGTTAATCCCTCTGTATGCACTCAGACACCAGCAGGTTTGCTGATGTTATTTTTCTGTAAAAATCACAGTGCGTTCAGATATCTGAATGATTGTTATTGTTTGGCCATTAGTGTGGTTAAGCTGCAGTAGCTTGGTGGTCAGTGCTGTGGTCTCAGCTCTGAAGCTGCAGGTTCGAGTCCGGGTTGTGTCATGAAGGGCGTCCAGCATTAAGTTTGCCAAATCTTCCGTCCCGAGATCGCTCGCTGTGGCGATCCCTACATGTGGGAGCAGCCGAAGGAAACAAACAACGTGGTTCATTAATGCAGTTCAGAGCATTTGAGTCACATTTTTGTTGAGTTACCTATTAATAACCTGAATTACCCCTAAATCTGCGTCAAACAAAGATTTAAGATTTTAACCTACATAGGTCCCCCGTGTTCTGCACCATCAGCTGGTTTTATTTATTTTTTGTTAATTTTTTTAAAATTACACATCTCCGCTGTAAACATGACATCTGTGTTGTGTTTATTAGTGTGAATACAACGTGACTTAACACTTCTCAGACTGTGATATACACAACACACTGTATGACAGTGACCACTGTGGGTCCGTGCAGCTCTAAAACAATCAGAACAAACTAAACTGAAGAGAAACTCGCCCACAGAACGTCTTGTAATCCACGTAATCCACTCTGATGGAAAAAATCCAAAAGATTGATTCTAATAAACAGTTTGTTAAAACTTTTAACTCCCCACAAAAATGCAAAACAGATGAACCAAAAAGCTGAATGTTGTCAGTTTAGTAAGAGGTTCGAGGATCAGGACGGATTATATTCAGACTACCGAACCTCAGCAGATAACCTGAGGTGGTCTGAAGGGAAACGTGTTAAAGCTCGTTTTTGTTGTTCAGACCTGACCTCAGCTCTGTCTGAATGAAAACCAACAGCTAAAGATGCGCTAAAGGTTTAACTTTCACCTGTTTAAACTTTTTATTCTTTCAGCCCTGCTGCTCTGTTACAGATCGTAGGCTGTTGTTGTTGTCGTTTTCTGACTTACCTTTGTCCTTGTGTTTCTTTCCCCTCCCTCCTCCTCCCTCTCCTCTCACACTGTTCCCCTCTGCAACATTCAAAACTCTCAAGATTCAAAAACTTCAGGTAAAACTTGTCAACTCAAGTCGGTCTAGAATAAAATGTGATTATTTTATTCAAGCTTTTCATTTCAGATGATTTTTCTCAAGTTGTGTTTAATAATATAAGTTTTATTCATTTTTTTTTATAGAGAGCGCGGCTGTTTTTGTTTTCGTACCCATCCCTCCGTCACAGCGGAGCCTTTGTTTCATGACGACAAAGCAAAAGTCTTTTCACATCAGTCTAATGTGCGTGTCTGTTGGGTTGCAGACGACTATTTCTCAACTCAAAGCGGAGCTGGAGAAGGGCCCACAGGAAGCAGCCGTGTATACGCAACAGATCCACCAGCTGCAGAGCAATCTGAATAATTTGCAGCAACAATGTCAGGTAGCACATACACACAACTTCAACAAAAGAGCTCCTACAGCCCGTTTCCTGGCTCTGGTGCTTGAGGCACAGTAAGCATGTGCAGTTTGTCCCTATTTCCATCTGTGAACTTTTCTTTGTCGCTCTACTTGAGAATGCTCGGCTGTCATCAGCCATCTCTGGCAACCTACACTTGTTGATAAATTTTACAGCTGGCACTATTATTAAACCAGCAGGAGGGAGGGCGTGGGGGGTGGAGGATGCTGCACCACCAGCTCCGTCAGTCAGGATGAAATATCATCGCAGCCAGGTAATGTTAGGGTGCGAATGGAGCGGGAGGTTAGAGGCAGAGGTGGTCTCTCAGCTGTGTGCGTTTCTTCGTACCAGAGGAAGATTATAGAACTTTAAATCTATTAATGTTCTTCTCAGACTTAATACGAATGATTATTTTACGAGAACGGAGATTAAATTACTCAAGTCAAGTGTAAGACAGGTGGACAGTCATCATGGGTTTTAGGTTTCCGAAGAGGCTCGTTAAAGTTCAGTGGAAGGCTGTTAAGTGCAGATGTCCCGTGTTATTCTGAAGTTAGCAGCTCACTCCGTCATAAACACCCTTTTATTCTTTGCCACCCTGTTGCCAAGTTGACTGTCAGAACTGAGAGCAGGACAAGTGCGGCACCGCTCTGCAGGAGTGGCATGCCTCACTTTATTCTTGACTCTTGACAGCTGAGTGTTCTTTTCCACGGATCATGTAACGAGGGGCTGAGGCTCTTCACGTTGCAGCTCATTTCAGTCTGTTCTGAGTAAGAAAAAACAATAATAATGTTCAGTTGGGGTTTGATGGTCCGTCAGAAACACCAGAGTGCAATAATTTGAGCAGTTAGTCTATTTATTCTAACCATTTGCTGATTATGTGCCAGTAATAATCTCTGCCTCGTGTTTTTTTTGTCTTTTTCTCCCAGAGTCTGTCTGAAAAGCTTTCACGTAGGGAGAAGGAGTATCAAAAACTAGAGGAGCACCTAGGAGCTGAGAAATCTGCCAAGAAGGAGGTCCAGGACAGCCTGAGGGAGAGGGAGTCGGAGGTGCAGGAGCTGCAGGCTCGGGCCGCGGGGGCCGAAGCCTCCCTGCAGAAGGCCTCGGCCGAGCTCACAGAGAGGGCCGAGGAGGTGGCCAAGTTCAAGAGTGAGGTCGCAGCGCTGGAGGTGAAGAACGCAGAGATGAAGGTGGAGAGGAAACAGTTGGAGCAGCAGAGGGAAGAAAAAGAAAGTAAAGGTGCTCAGCAGCAGACTGAGATCAGTCAGGTGAGACTACAGACTGACAGAAACTCCAGCAGACAGACATGAACAAGTACAGTCAATATTTTAGTGACATGTTTGATCTAAAGCAGCTTCAGTACTGCCCCCCCCCCACCCCCCACCCATCATCTTCTGAGCATCACTGCCTGATTTAATGTGGGTGAGATTAAGCTCCATGTAACATTTTCATTCATAAATATACAGTAGTCCTTCATTTATCGCGGCGGTTAGGTTCCACAAACCCCCACCCCACGCAATAAGTGAAAAACCGCAAAGTAGGGACGCTATGTTTATTTTAGTATATATATATATATTGTAAGGCTTTATAAACACTTCCCACACACTTGCAATGTTCTAAACTCTTAAACCTACATCATTTTAACAACATGCGTACAGTACTGTATATGTAGCTACTAAATTTTACTCAAGGCTCTGCAGAACACAGCAACAGCGGTCCAACTAGGTTCTGTCCGACCCAGTTCATTTCTGCAGACGTAACCTGCAGCAACAAAGCCCAAAATCAGTCCTCTAAACTCTTAAACCTACTAGTTTTAACAACATACATATATGTACTGCAGTAGCTACTGCAAAATTTGATATGGTTACTCACCAGCCTTGGTCCGGTTCTGGACAGCTTCTGATCGGCGCTCTGCAGCCGTTGAGCACCAGATGCTTTTAGAGAGCCGGACCTTCAGAGAGCCAGCACAAAACCACACAATGGTCCAGATAGAGTCCAAATAATCCAGAAAAATCGGATGGTAAAAAGTCCAGGTGAGCTCCGGAGAACACACGGGACCTCCCAACAATGTCTCCCTGCACGAGAGGCTCAAAAGTTCGGTTCTGGTCGGCTCTCTGCAGTCACTGAGCGCCAAAGTCACTATGAATAAGGACCAAACTCTTTAGTCAGGTTCGGATCGGATCAAAACTTTCCTTCCATTTTGGCAGAAAGCAGCGGGCTGGAAGCACTGTTGAATTCTGGGAAGTGCACTGTTGCCTTGTGGGTAATGAAGTTTTTTTGGACTGACAACTGTGTAGGATTGTCACTCCCCGATCTGTTACGGAAGCACGATCCGTAGTGTTCATTTGCGCATGCGCTAAAAGGAATACTTCTGGCTCGCCGTTGTTTATGAATAAGAACAGTCTTAATTTATTTAGAAAAGTACGTGTTCTATCTCCGTCGATCTTCATGTTGCTAATTTACGCCACTCGTATTTCCGTTAAAATCACTGACATATTTACGTCTGTGGTTAAGATGATATGCGACACATTAGACCTGACCCCCAGCCTGGGCTGAATGAGAAAAACCCAGCAAGATACAGAATGAATTATTTCCACGGTGAAACAGCGCCACCCAGTGGTGAAGCTGCATATCATTTTAACCATGACGTCAATAAGTTAATGATTTTAACGGAAATACAAGTGACGTAAATAAGCAACATGAGGATCGTCATAGATAGAGCTCATACTTTTCTAAGTAAATTAAACAGTTCTTGTTCATAAACGGAATTATAACATTGTCTAGGAAAATTAATAAATTTATAGAAAGATATATTTAAATTTATATGAATAAATATGGTGCGTTTCATAAATAGTATATTTTATTAATATCAAGTAATTATTTCCAGGACATTTTCCTTAATCTAGCCTGTTCAAAGGTGATCCGTGCGACCCGGAAGTATTCTTTTTAGCGCATGTGCAAATGAGCAACACTACGGATCGTGCTTCCGTAACAGATCGGGCAGTGACGGTGCTTATTGAAAGAAAACTACAAAATGGCGGCGCCTGTCCGAATTATTATTTTTTGTCAATAACTTTTTCACAACCACGAGTACAGTGATATTACTCTACAAGTGTGTGTAAAAAGAAAAAAAAAGTCCAATAAATTGGACTCCACAAACCGCGATAGAGCAGTCCATGAAAGTCGAACAGCGAAGTAGCGAGGGACTGTTGTATTCAGTTATTCCTAAATCAAACAATTTGGAACAAATTCATTCTGGTGTAGAAGCTCAACCTTTACAGGTTAAAGGAGTAACTGCATCTCTGATACACAAAGTCAACTTTATCAATAATTTTAGAGGACTAAATGTGATCTTCACAGTTTTCTCTGCTCAGTGTCGATCATTTTGTACTTTCAATTCCAACACGTGTCATTGTTCTCCTTCAGCTGCACACCAAACTCCTGGAGGCTGAGCGGCAGGTGGGCGAGCTGCAGGGTCGTCTGAAGGAGCAGAGGCAGCTGTCAGGGGAGAAGCTGAAGGACCGCGAGCAGCAAGCAGCCGACCTGCAGCTCAAACTCTCCCGGGCAGAAGAACAGGTAGAAGGATGAAAACGTTCCCACATTGATGGCTGAGCAAAGTGCAAGTCTGCTGTACCAATTGTTTTGTGAAAGATAACTTTAGAATATGAAATAAGACAAACAAAATAAGACATTTTTTTAGCAGCAGAAGAAAATTATGAACAATAAACAAGAATCTTGATGCTAATTAAAGCCCTGTGTTAAAAAAGGGATACAAAAAGAACAAAGGCCAAATAACTTGGGGAGTTAAAGTTTGGTGCAGAAACCTTAAGATGCATAAAATAATCATTCAGCTTGCTGCTGTGTTTTGCCTCAGCTGAAGGAGAGCTGCAGTAAGAGCACAGACCTGCAGCACCAGCTGGAGAAAGCCAAGCAGCAGCACCAGGAGCTGCAGGCGCTGCAGAAAAACACCAACGGCAAACTGCGGGAGGCGCAGGTAGCAATCACCAAAAATATTGGAGAGCACAAAGACGGGAGTCAGTTGCTTTCATGTTTGTTTTTTTAAGATGTTCACTTGAAATAGCTGAAGTATTTGTTTTTCTTTTAACCTTTCTCCTGTGTTTCTAAATGTATGATCCATGACTTTTAATAAAAAAAAAAAATTATAAACATGTTGAGTCAGATTTTAAATATTTATTTGTTTTTTTGCTGTAGAACGACTTGGAGCAGGTGCTGCGTCAGATTGGAGATAAAGATCAGAAGATCCAGAACCTGGAAGCTCTGCTTCAGAAGAGTAAAGACATTGTGAGTCAGCTGGAAGCTGAGAGAGAGGACCTGTGTGCCAAAATCCAGGCTGGGGAGGGAGAGACAGCAGTCCTTAACCAGCTCAAAGAGAAGAACCACGCTCTACAGGAGCAGGTGGACACACACACACACACTTCAGACAAACTAATAGAAAGTGTTCTGTGTATGAACTGACTCCTGACCCTCGGTGTCAGAGCTTAACGTTTTCTTTTTGTGGGGGGATTTTTCAAGGTGACACAGTTGACTGACAAGCTGAAGAACCAATCAGAGAGCAACAAGCAAGCTCAGGATAACTTGCACAAACAGGTCCAGGAGCAGAAGACTCTGCTGCGTTCAGCCCAGGACCGAGCTCAGACCCTGGAGACGTCCGTCACCGAGCTCACCGCTCAGCTCACAGACACCAAGGAGAAAGTCGCACAGCTGGATGCTCAGGTCTGTCAGCATCATGGAGGAATACAGACTCGAGTAATGTTTGATGTAAAGTATTTATTTATTTATTTATTCAGCTGAAGGCAAAAACCGAGCTGCTGCTGTCTGCAGAAGCAGCCAAGGCTGCACAGAAAGCCAACCTGGAGAACAACCTGGAGGCTGCTCAGCACGCCCTGCAAGACAAACAGCAGGTCGGGTTCTGGTTCTTCTATAATTAACGTTGATATAAATACTGAAACGTTGTGAACATAGAACTGGTGGCTCTGTAACTTCCTTTCCTCGGTTATTTGTGAAATTTTCCCATTAAACTCCTTGTTTTGTGCAGGAACTGAATAAAGTTCAGAAGAACGTTGAGGAGAAGGCCCAGAGGCTCAAGGAGAGACAGGAGCAGTGTGCTCAGCTGGAAACCAGTCTGAAGGAATGTAAAGACAAACTACTGGCCTCAGAGCAGCGAGCTGAGCAGCTGGAGGGGCTCAATAAGGTTCCTTGTTGATTTCATCTACATTTTGTCACGTTACTAACTTCAAAGGATTTTACTAGGAGTTCTTCTTTAGACATGGCTTCAAGCTCGGACTGGACGGAGTGCGTCTGTGAACAGAAATGTTCAAGTCTTTCCACAGATTCTCAGTTAGATTTAGGTCTGGTCTTTGACTGGTCTGTTATACAGTTTGATCTAAATGATCCATCAGGCTGGATGGTGAACCTCTGTATTGATCTCAAGTCTTTCGCAGCTCCTGGCAGGTTTTCTTCCAGGATTTCTCTGTATTTAGCTCCGTCCATCTTCCCATCAGCTCTGAGCAGATTTTCTGCACCACAGTTGTGATGGTGTTTTCAGGTTCAAGGGCAGTGTTAGTTTTTCCCCACACGCCATGTTTGTATTTAGCTCAACTTGCCCAAGAGGTTCAGTTTTTCTCTGGTTTGAGCATTACATCTTCTTCCACATGCTTGCTGTGTTCCTAAATGGCTTGTGGTAAAAAGGACTTCTTCTGGGGGATTTGTGGCGTGCACAGCTAATAGTTGTTTTAGTTGTGGGCAGATTCTCCCACATGAGCTGCAGCTCCTCCAGAGTGACTGAGTTTTTTAGCTGCACATCAGATTAATGCTCTCCTTGTCCAGCCAGTCAGTTTAGGTGGACACTCATGTCTTGGTAGGTTTTCAGTTTTGCCGTACCCTTTCCATTTTCAGATGTTGGATTGAACAGAACTCCATGAGATGTTCAGAGCTTGGGATATTGTTTTATAACCTAAACCAGCTTTAAACTTCCAAACAGCTGTTGTTTCTTGGTCTTCATGTTAGATCACTAATGTTCTGTAACAAACCTGCAAGGCCTTCACAGAACAGCTGGAGTTATACTGAGGCTAAATGACTCTCAGGTGGACTTATTAATGATGAGGTAATATGTAAAGGCAGTTTGTTGTTTTGGATTTTAGTCTGTGGTGTCAAAGAGAAAGGGGGTGAAAAGAAATGCACGAAACACTTTACAAAGTTTTATTCATCTATTATTCAGTTTTCTTCCACTTAATTATGACTAACTTCATGTTGGTCTATAACAAAAATCTTGATAAAATACCTTTAAGATTGATTTTGCAACGACAAAATGTAGAAAAGTTCAGTGGATGTCAATGCTTTTTCAAAGGCTATGCTTTTTTAAATTTATTTATTTTGCTGTAATCAGAAACTGGAGTCGCAGCTAGCAGAAGCCCAAACCGTGCGGGATCAGGTGCAGCAGGAGGTGCAGAAACTGCAGAAGGAGAATTCAGAGGTTAAACGGAAAGGAAAGGAGCTGCAGCGCTGCCTGGAAACTGAGAAGGATGGGTGAGACAAACTACACAGTCCTGCCCGGATTCGTTTGAACAAAGTCATCATTGACAATATGAACTTTTTAAAAGCCTGTAACAGAAAATATTTCATTTGTTAAGCACTAAAACTCTTCAAGAGGAATTAAAGAAAAAAGCTGCAGCTTTGAGTGACATCCAGCAGTGTCTGGAGCGCTGTGAGCAGGAGGCGGCTGCTCTGAAGGGGAATCTGGACAAGGTGACCCAGGAAGGAAAGGATCAGCGCACAGAGCTGGACAGGAAGGCTCAGAGTCTGGCTGTGGAGCTGCAGAAGGTCCAGCAGGAGAAAGAAGCTCAGAGGAAGGAGCTTGTTGCTGCTAAGGAGAGCTTGGAAAAGACTAGCAAGGCACTGAAAGAGAGTCGAACTCAACTGGACTCAGAGAGGAAGAACCATAAATCAGCCATGGACGAGAAGGTAGGCTGTCTCTAAAACATGTGACGACTTATTGTTTACAACAACAGATCATCACTGAAGGCTTTATTCTGTCTGAATCCTCAGGAGAAGTCTAATGAAAAAACAAAGCAGGAGCTTTTCAAAACGAACGAGTCCATCACAAAAGCAATGAAGGAAACCCAGGAGCAGCTGGGGCAGATGAGAGAGGTACAAACCTCTGGAGGAAAACTGACGAGCAAACTTTATTATTTTCAAAATTAACACTTTGTTGCTGCATGTTCAAATGTCAGGCAGAGAAAAAGTTGAAGGTGCAGCTGACATCCGTGGAGCAGCAGCACTCAAAGACTCAGGGAACACTGAAGGTGAAGGAGACGGAGTTGGAGAGAATACAGACGGAGCTGAAAACCATTAAGGGCTCTTTAGAGGAGGAGGTGAAGAAGCTGCGGGGCCAAGTGACAGAGCTGCAGGACGCCTGCGTCAAGAAGGTAAGAAGTCGCAATGTTCAGGCAATTTAAAGTAAAGGATCCAAAACTTCAAATTCATAAAAACTTCTGTTTTACTTGTGTCCCCAGGCAGAAGAAGAAAGTAAACTGAGAGCTCGGGTGTCGGAGCTCACCCAGGAGGTAACGTCTGAGAAGAGCCGGACAGCAGAGCTGCAGAAAGCCTCGAAGCAAAACCAGGAAATCTTTACCAAGCTGCAGTCCGACTTTTACGGCAAAGAATCTGAGGTTTCTGCTCTGCGGCAAGACCTCAAGGTAAAAAAAAGTCCAGGCTAAATCGTCTGAAAACAGTCTGAATTCAAGGCAAAGCGTTCCTTAAATCAGTGGTTCCCAACCCTGGTCCCTGAGGAACACCATCCTGCATGTTTCGGTTGTTTCCTGCTCCAACGCGCCTGATTCAGTGATTTAATTACATCCTCAAGTTCTGCAGAAGCCTGTTAATCACCCATTCATTCAAATCAAACGAGTCAAATCAGGAAAACGAGTAAAACATGAAGGATGGTGTTCCTCAAGGACCAGAGTTGGGAACCACTGGTTTATACAGCAACGTTGATGAAAGTCTTCTTGTTTTATTGATTTCCTCTCACGATGCTCAAATGTGACTTTCTGTGACTGCAGACGTCGGAGGACAAACTGAACGTGACCCAGGAGGAGCTGGCTGCTAACATAAGCCATCAGACGGGTTTAGAGGCTCAGATCCAGGATCTGAAAGCGGGTCGCAGCTTGTTGGAGCAGAAGCTCTCCAAACGAGATCAGGAGCTCCAACGGCAGGAACAAAGCGTGAAGGAGCTCCAGGAGCAGCAGGTTGGAGAAAAGAAAACGGCTAACACATAAAGACACACAGGTTTCGGTCCATGAGCATTTCCTTAAATCGTGCGCACCTGTACAGGGTCGGGCTAACGAGGCGCTGCAGGAGGAGAGAAACAAGATGGAGGAGCTGAACAGCACCAAGGTTGTTCTGGAAAAACATGCAACAAGACTATCGTCTGAGCTAAAAAGTCTTACAGAGAAGAGCGGGAGGGTGAGGGCGGCTTCACTAATCCATCAGCTGAGATCTGCTTTTATTTAAGCATGTACTTGAGAGCTGTTATTGTTTAGGAGCTGGGCGAGCTGCGGGAAGCCAAACAGCTGCTGATCCAGCAGAAGCTGGAGCTGCAGGGTCAGCTGGAGGCAGCTCAGGGAACCCTCAAACAGGAGCAGAAAGACCACCAGGCCACCAGGGACAGCAGGAGCAAGAGAGAGGAGCAGCTCCTCAACCAAACAAAGGAAGTCCACGATCAGCTGGTAGGCGGCCTCCGCAAGAAAACCCACCAATAGATCGTCCCCTTCCTGTCTGAGCTGTTCTTTTTCATTTTCTAGGCGGCAGAGAAGCGAGCCAGGGAAGAGCAGGTGAAGCGCGGCGAAGAGGCCGAGGTGAAGCTGAGCGTGCAGGTGACGGCGCTCAACGAGAACGTGGCCACGCTGAAGAGGGAGTGGCAGAGCAGCCAGAGGAGGGTGGGCGAGCTGGAGAAACAGACGGACGAGCTGAGAGGAGAGATCGCCGTGCTGGAGGCCACGGTCCAGAACAACCAGGACGAACGGCGGGCTCTTCTGGAAAGGTTGGTGGGCGTGGCTTTCATGATTCAAATCACTTTTTTCTTACTGTAATTGGGTGCAAGAAATATCTAATTTTAGCTCAATATTACTGCCACTTTATCTACTTTAGTGCTTGGTTCTAGAATTGGCCGCTCGGGGTGGCTGCGTGTTGGAGCAGCTCTCTTACTTTCATTCTGATTTATTGCTTTTGAAAACTTAAATTCCTCTTTTTTCTGGATGTAAATCACTTTTTCAGATGATTATTTCCTCTGGTATCAGATGCTGTGCAGCTGGAATGATTTTTACTGAAGCTTTTTTTTTTTTAACTTTTGGGCCTTTGTTATGATGCGTAACCATGACAACAAGATGTTTTTAACAACCAGGAGCAGCTGATTAACATCTCAAAAGCTCAAGTACCTCAGCTACAGCCCCAAATCCCAAATGAGTTGAAAAGGAGGCGCTGTGGACGAATTCCCGTCAACCTGGAGGCGGTGCTCGAGTACCTGACCACCGAGTCCTGAAGTTGGTGAGAAACTTGGCTCGTGACAACGGGAGGACCGGTATCATCCCCCGGCACCTTCAGCTGTTTGTCCGTGGTGATGAGGAGCTCCGCAGACTGCTGGGAGGAGTGACCATCGGTCAGGGAGGAATTCTGCCCAGTATTTGGGCAGTCCTGCTGCCCAGGGGAACTAAGAGGCCCGCCGGATCTGACATCCAGCTGGATCTGGGTGAATGGATCGGGATCTGTGGCCAGATTCTTCGCTTCACTGCAGAGATCCTTCCTGTCCACAGTTATCAACATTTATAACAACTCTTGAATGAAACCAAGATGATGAGCTACGACAACACTTAATTTCACTTTGGGATTAATAAAGTATTTTTGAATTTGAATTTGAATTAACAAAAAAAATTGAACTAAATTTTTTTTAAACACTTTAAATTTTTATTTATGACGGCAGCACTTTGCCTGTTTTCAGACCGTTTATGTTCTAAATATTTAAACCCAATTAAAGCCCAACTCAAAGTCCAGACCAGCACTGCAGCAAGCGCTGTGTGCTCCTAACAGCCGAGTGTTGTTTCAGCTTGGTGGTGCATCATTTAGCTAAAAGAGTCGACGCTGTTTCCAAATAACTGCTGACAAACATCATGACGTTACAGGAAGTTCTCCTCTTGTTTAATAAAGACGAGCTGCGTTTCATTAACTTTTTGTCCTTTTCAAGTACCTGCTCAGGAACTAGATGACAGGAATGACCTGTGCCGTGTGCTTCAGGTGTGTGAAAGGAGAAGGGGAGATGGAGAAGCTGCAGACCAAAGTGATGGAGCTCAGGAGGAAGCTGGACGATACAACAGCAGCCATGCAGGAGCTCGGCAGAGAGAACCAGTCGCTGCAGGTAGGACAAATAAAAACGACTACAGAGCAAACTAGTAAGATACTACACTGCAGGGTTTACAGTATTCACCTACACACAGGGGGAAAAGGTTATGGGATCTGTTGTTGTTGATGCTTGTAGATCAAACAGTCACAGAGTTTGACCAGGAAGTGGGCTGAGGACCACGAGGTGCAGAACTGCATGACCTGTGGGAAAGGCTTCACGGTCACCGTCAGAAAGGTGAGGAACTTTTTTTTTTTTTTTTTTATATATATATATATATATATATACAAACAGCTGAGCACGTTGATTTTATTTCATTGAACTTTTCTCCCTCTTTTAAAAACAATCATTCCAGCACCACTGCCGACACTGCGGGAACATTTTCTGCGCCGAGTGCTCGTCGCGGAACGCCCTGACACCGTCCTCCAAGAAGCCGGTGCGGGTGTGCGAGACGTGTTTCGAGGAGCTCCAAGGCTGATGGGCGTTTAATTTTATTAATCCTCCTCATGTCATCCCCTTAACCCCCCTCCATACTTTTCTCTATTCCAACGAGGAGTCTGTCATTTTTAACGTGCACTATAAATGATAAACCAAGTACGCCGACTCCCATCGGACTTCTGGTTCTGACGTTCTACTGAGGTGACGCCAGAATCACGTGATGGGACGAGATCGATTTGTTTGTATCTGTTTTTGTGCCTTTGCTACTCCTGTGGACCGCCAGAGAGCGGAACCAGTGAGAATGAACCATCGTCCATCTCTTTAAACTCGTATCCATCGCTGTCGTCAGCACACGGTGTTAAACGTCTGCAGAAGTCTTTATTGTAACCGTGGAGAGGAACTCTGCCCGTTACTTTAATATTTGATTCTAACCCAGAACTGATCAGTCACTTGAAAGTCCTCGCTTTAATTAAAAATAATGATTTTTTATATTAAAATTTCATTTAAATAATGAGGTAATTATGTGTAGTTTGCAGATCAGGTGTAAAATAACAGTTTTCTTCTACTACCATCCTGATCCACAACAAGATGAACTAGTTTCTAGTTTTTTAATTTATTTTCATGTGAGCAATTTGTCATGAACACAAGATGAAGACAGTATTTTAAAAGCAAAATAATGCAGTTTTATTAAATTGACTGCATTAAGAGCGTCAGATTTTTGTCAGTATCTGTCAGGTTCAGCAGTGTATAACCCGTAGCTTAACAAAGTTTGGACGATGTGCAAAATGTAAAGAAAGACGCAGCGATTTGTAAATCTGTTCAAACCATATTTTAAACAAATGAGGTATTTTTGAGTTTGATGGCAGCAATATTTCTTCAACAAGTTGGGACCGGATCATGTTTACCGTCTTCTTTTAACAACGGTCTGTAAATGTCTTTACTTCTGCTGTAATGGAGGTGCAGCGTCGTCTTGCTGAAATATGCAAGACCTTCCCTAGTTGTGCACTTGTTTTTCTAAAACCTGCATGAAGCTTTCTGCGTTGATGGTTCCAGATGTGTTAAGCTGCCCATGCAGTAGGCACTAATGCACCCCTATACCATCAGAGAGGCAGTCCTTTGAGCTGTGAGCTGATAACAGACTGAATGGTCCTTTCTTTAGTGTGTGGCGTCTGTGGTTTTCAAAAACGAGCTTCAAATTAGTTTTTTCCATTTTGCCTCAGTCCATTTGATAGAAGACGACTGTTTCTGCAAGAAGCTTCTTCTTTGCCTGATAGAGCTTTATTCTGCATTTGTGTACGGCACAGCAAACCATAAGGAACAAGAGCGAAGAGATTCAGACTTTATAATGCTCGTTTACACCCAGTTCTGACTGAACCGTTGCTGATGAACCCAGTTCACTGCAGAACGTTCCGCCAGAACAATTTGAGACTTGTTGCTGCCATCAACTTCATTATTCTTGTTTTGTCCCAAAAAGGAGCATTTCTTACTTTAAGCATCTGAGATATTTTCACAGAGAGTGAAATATTGCTTTACGATAGTTGCAGGTTGTTTTGTAAGTTTTCCACAACGTCCCAACTTTTTCCGAGTTGCGTCTTAAGTTTGAATGTCATCCAGTAACGTGACTCGTTCCAGAGGAAGCTTTTATTAGTCAGCTTGTGCACCAGCTGTTATCTGTAGACAACACCTGGATCAGCTACTGCCTGTTCCCTTTGTGCGGCAGACTGCGAATCTGTAAGAAGAAAAAAAAAAAGTTAATTTATTTCTGTTTCACGACCAAAGAATGTGTCTGCAGCGCGACCACAGCTGAGGGGTTCGGGTCATTCTTCAGTATTTTCAGCACTTCGCCTCAAAGCTTTTGAGTTTTAATCACAGGCTCGAACATTTTCATCTTGTAAAATGGGCACGCGTGGTGATCGGTCTTTGTGTGTGACGGCTGTTGTTGGATTTTTGTGTTTATTTTGTGCATTTTCTACAAATTGTGGTGCTTTTTTGCAAACTGGTCATTCAGCCATTGAAGGTGTTTTGTGTGTGTGTGTTTTTTTTTTTTTTTGCTGCTGCTTGTTTTCACTCCAGAGCACTGATTCCAGCTGATGCTGAGTGTGTGTGTGTGTGTGTGTGTGTGTGTTTTTTTTTTTTTTGCTGCTGCTTGTTTTCACTCCAGAGCACTGATTCCAGCTGATGCTGTGTGTGTGTGTGTGTGTGTGTGTGTGTGTGTGTGTGTGTGTGTG